TTGCTCAGCCTATTTTCTTGAGTGCCTTCACGATTCGGACAACTGATCGCGAAGATATGCTTCCGACCTTGAGCGGATTCGAGAGTCAAAGCTTGAGGCAACTTCGCACCAGCCTCGAACCCCGAGGACGCTCCAACTCCAGCGTGCCTGGAGTTCCGCGGCCTGGCTCGGCCTCTGTGGCGCGGCTCGTGGCCTCCTCGTGGCCCGCCTGCGCCCCCCGCCCGCGCCGTGCGTTCCAGGCCGTGGCTCCGGGGGCTCTGTGGTGTGCCCCGCGGCGAGTGGCGCGGTGCGTGGCGCGCCGCGGCGTCCACGGCCGCCTCCTTCCGTGGCGCGTGGCCTCGGTGGCTGCCCCGGGGGGGTCCGTCGTGGCCTTTGCCGCCGTGGGCCACCCTGTGCGGCCTGCCGCACTGCGAGGCGCGAGAGAGGCGGGCGGCGGCCCGGGGCACCATGCGCGCGAGGCGGAGAGCGATTTCTGGTTGGGGCTCGTGCGCAGGTCCACGATTGATGGCCCTGTATTCCACCACCACCACCATAAGTTGGAGATGGGCAGGATGTGGAGGATGAGGAGGAGGGAGAAGACGAAGAGGATGAGGACCTCCTCCCCCTCCTACTTCTGGTGGTGGTAGTGGGAAACCTTCCCACCAACGATAGCTTCCATACAGTGCTTTCCATGCCAGTGGGCAGCGCCCAGGCAGCTCTTAGGGAGTGGTGCGCAGGCCCGCGCGCAGCGCAGGCAGCGCCTCCCAGGCCCGTGGGCAGTGCTTTGGGCACCTCCCAGGCACTGCTTGTTCGCTCGTGCGCTGCGCCAAGGCAGCTCCCAGGCAACGTTTCTCAGCTCCTAGCCACAGTTGGGGCTTTCCACGAGGGTTGCGAAACTCGCGAAGGGTTGTCAATCTTGGGTGCTGCCTCAGTGTCCAGACGAGTTCAATGGTAAATCCACCATGGTGCCAGCGCGGCACTTTGTCAAGGTGATTTTTTATTAGTCGGTCAGCATGTCTTGTCACGTTTCAATTCTCGCCCCTTCAGGGGGACGGTAAATATCCCTCATCTTTTCGCTTTGCCACTGGAGCGATGGCCGTATCGTGTGATGTTTCACGTCCGCATGGTTCCGAGAGGACTGAATATTTGGGCATCGTAGTTTCTTGGCGGTCAGCTGAATGGTTCCCTTGGATTTTCTTGGGTCTATTGGGCGCCAGCTGGTGTCTTCGGACCATCCTGCAAGGTTTTGTGGTTTGGTGGCACGATGGCAGTTTTGTTTTTTTTCCCGTTTATCGAGGGTTCTGTTATGGCCAGGTTTGGGCCGTGTTCGATTTGTTTTTTGGATGGGCTTTGAGCTGTCTGGGGAGTCCTTGCGCCGTCGCAGGCCATTTTGGGCTTTTTGATGTCCACTGCGGGGCGTCGTAGGCTGCTTCTGTGGCCTCATCCGGCTTATTGGGGCGAAATGTGTTGAAGGTGTGAAATATAGACACACCTGAGGTCTTCCAATCGTGTTTGCGATTCTCATCAGTGGGCATTGCCGAGTAGGTTATTTAATCGCTTCGTTCATTTCGCTGGCCAATTCGCGTCACTGTGGCTGCGTGGTGGTGTGCTCGAGCCCAGGGGGAGCGATATCGCAGGCAGGACGGTCTTCGAGAAGATCTTTAGAGATGTGGCTCGCACCCTGTCGAAGAGAGCCGATATATTGCCCCAGAGGGCGTCAATATGTCTCAGGAGACTCCAGCAGAGTTTCGATATGTACATGGGTTGTGGGTCAAAGTGCTCATATCTGCTTCTTGGGGTCTCTTCGGAGGGCTCTCGGGAGCCTCTGGGGAGCAGTTTTGAGGCCTCTGGTGAGCCTCTTGGGGGCTTCGTGGGGGCCTCGTGCAGCTTCCTTGGGGCCTGTTGGGAGTCTTGGGAGCCTCTTTTAGGACCTCTTGGGGGCCTCTCGGGGCCTCTTGCAGAGCTGTTGGGGGCATCTGGGGGCTTCCTGGGCGCTTCTTGGGGCCAGGAGCTCGAAATATCTGTTCAGCTTCTCCCTCTGGGCCTCCTCTTGGGGCCATCCTGGGGCCGTCTTGGAGGCCTCTTGGGTCGTCTTATGGTCATCTTGGGCAATTGGGGGGCTCTCTGGGAGGCTTTTTGGGTCGTGTTCGAGCGCTCTTCGGACCTCTTAGGCCGTCCAGGGCGGTCGGCAGCTCGAAACGGCAGTAGCGCCAAAATTATCCGAAAACCGCAGCAAAATCAGTGATTTTTGCGTCTCCGTGGCCTCTCGAAGTCCTCTTGGAACCCTCCTGCAGCGTCTTGGGCGCTTCTTGGACCGTCTTGGGACCAACGTAGGCCGTCTTGGAATGCTCTTGGCCTGAGGCCGTGGGGCGTACCAACTCTTTGGCGCCTCATTGGGGCGCTCTGGGAGCCCCCGAGGCCACGGCCAGGAGTTCCGGCATCTCTGACCCGACCTTGTCGGGACCTTGCCGGGACCTTGCCAGGACCTTGCTGGGACCTTGCCGGGACCTTACCGGGACCTTGCCGGGGTACTTTTCGTCCGGGAATTTCAGGGGCCGCCACGCGCGCGCGAACTCGAAGCATTCTGAAACTCTTCTAGGAGATTTTAGCACGCCTCTGAAACGTTGGACGGGCGAATTTTCCGATCTTGGTTAGGAGAGCATGCGCATCTTTTTCCAACTTCGCCCAAGCGCCCAATATTTGAGCTTATAAATGGTTTTTTGCCAGAACCCTCCTGAGTAGCCAGGTCCTCGGTTTCTCTCCGCAGCGCTGCCCGTCTCCTTCCCTCCTCCTGCCCCACCCTCTCCATCTTCTCGCATTTCCCAACCATCCTGTGTTGCTGGGCCCTCGTTTTCTCTCCACAGCGCCGCACATTTTCTTCTCTTCCTTCTCCTCCTCTCCCTCAACTTCTTCCTCCTTCGCCACCTCCTCCCTCTGCCTCTCTTCCGTTGCGCGGACTGGGCCGCCGTCCTGGCCCTCCTGGCATCGCCTGGGTCCTAGTTCCTAGTGGCGATGAGGTGCAGGCGGTACGTCCACGAGTTGGACGAGCGCGGTGACGATCACCGTGTCACGGGGCAGTCCGACGACATGGCGAACCCTTCGGCAGACAGAGTACGTTTAAATGTCACCGAGATGGTGCAGCCCGTTCTGCAGACACCTGGCGTCGTGCAGCCCTTTTCCCAGCCGCCCTAGCACCGGCGGGCAGGAGCACTGCCTGGCAGCGCATGCTTGCCGTGCGGCGGCTTTGGCCTTACCGGCGCGGCTGAAGCGCGCAGCACCGCGCGCAGCAGCATCAGCGAGAACAGTAGCATGACGCCGACCAGCGCTTCGGAGAGCAGCATTGGCATGACCAGCGGCACAACGCCGACCAGTCCGTCGGCGAGCAGCATCGCTGGCATGGGCACGTGCGACGTCAGGGGGCCCGCGGTGCGACGCGCCGCTGTGCTTGCGAGTCTGGCGGCACCAAGCGGATCAGCACGTCAGTGGCCAACCCCGCTTGCACCAGCACGCGGCAGCACTAGCGAGACTGGCGGCAGCGCTCGCGTGAGTGGCGCCTGAGCCTCGCGAGAACGGTTGCGATTTGCAGCAGATGTTTGAGCACCATCTCAGCGAGTAGTGCTCTCGCCGGCTCTAGGACGGTTGAGACCAGCAACGACATTGTAACGACCAGCACCGCGTCAGTGAGACGCAAAGCATGAGTGAGAACGACATTAGCGGCCTGTGAAGCACGACTGGGGTGAGCAGGTGTACGTGCATTCTCAGCACGCCACTGGCTTTCTGCCAGCACTGTTGCAGCTATGAGCCAGAGCACGCGATCGCTGCACGCCAATGCCGGCAGCATGACAACGAGTAGCGTGCCAAAATTTGCGGCGCCACGATTCATAAGCGCCTGGCGCTCGCGGCACCGCGCTGAGCAGCATGACCAGTAGTTCCCCACAGTTCGCCGATCAGCAGCACGACGGGTATTGGCAGCCCGTCGCCAGGAGCAACGAAGGGCACTATCAGCATGGGCGCCGCATGGTGGGGCGTCGCTGATCAGCATGGCCCCTTGACCTAGCCCAACTCGCAGCCGACCGCAGTGTCCAGCCGACAGCAGAACGGAAAGGCTGTCAACCGCTTCGATGCCCTTAGTGTTTGCCCTCTCCTAAACCACCCCGCTGGTAAGCTCCCCGATGCCGCCTCGGTTGGTCTCCTCCACCAACCGCCGTGCGACGTCGGGCCCCGAGTCTCCCAGGGAGGCTTCTCAGGGAGTGCGTGGTACTCTGCCGCTGGGTCCCAGTCGAGAAGAGCCGCACAGTAATGCGTAGCAGATACGGCCTCAGCGACCGACCAGCTGCTTGCCACAAGCCTGCTAACTACGGCATATCGCCCTCTCTCTGATCAAGGCCCGCCCCGGTGGGACAGGCAGGCTGTCAGCCCCGAGCACGTTCGGGGTGCTGAAACGCCTAGGACACCTGATGTGGAGCATTGTAAGGCGAAATGCGCGATTCCATGCTGATGATGATGAAGAAGAAGAAGCTGATGATGATGCTGCTGCTGATGATGATGAGGAATAAGAGTAAGAAGGTGCTGATGCTGATGATGATGATGCTGATTCTGCTGATGAGGCTGCTGCTGATGATGATGGTATGAGCTGCTGTTGATGACGATGATGGTGGTGATGATGATGATGCTGGTGGTGGTTGTGGTGGTGGTGATGGTGGTGGTGGTGCTGATGACGACGACGATGCTGATGCTGCTGATGCTGATGATGATGCTGATAATGATGATGATGATGATGATGATGATGATGGTGATGATGATGATGATGATGCTGCTGATGCTGATGATGCTGATGATGACGAAGACGACGATGACGAGAAGGAGGAGGAGGAGGAAGAAGAGGAAGAGGCGGAGGCGGAGGCGGGTGTGGGGGCGGAGGCGGAGGCGGTGGCGGAGGCGGAAGAGGGGGAGTAGGAGTAAAACGACACTGCCCAACCCCCACGCCACCCCCGTGGGGCTCCCCCGCCGCGGCACCGCAGGGGCTGGCTCCCAGCCCGGGCCGCCGTTGGAGGGAGCCGGAGGTGCGGCAGCTGGAGAGGCGCGTCAGCGCGGGCAGCCAGGATGGAGGAGAGCAGATGGACCAGGAAGAAAAGGATAAGTAGTAAAATAATTCTTAGTAAAAAGGATGAGTAGAAGACGTCGTAAAAGTAATGACAGTACTAATATTCGTAGTCGTAGCCGTAGTAGTAGTAGTAGTAGTAGTAGTAGTAGTAGTAGTAGTAGTAGTAGTAGTAGTAGTAGTAGGTAGTAGTAGTAGTAGTAGTAGTAGTAGTAGTAGCAGTAGTAGTCGTAGTAGTAGTAGTAGTAGTAGTAGTAGTAGTAATAGTAGTAGTAGTAGTAGCAGTAGTAGTAGTAGTAGTCGTAGTAGTAGTAGTAGTAGTAGTAGTAGTAGTAGTACTAGTACTAGTAGTAGTAGTCGTAGTAGAAGAAGCAGCAGTAGTAGTGGTCGTAGTAGTAGCAGTCATAGTAGTAGTAACAGTAGTAGTAGTTGTAGTAATAGTATTAGTGGTGGTAGTAGTAGTAGTAGTCGCAGTAGTCGTAGTAGTAGTAGTAGTAGTAGTAGTAGTAGTAGTAGTACAAGTAGTAGAAGTAGTAGAAGTAGTAGAAGTAGTAGAAGTAGTAGTAGTAGTAGTAGTAGTAGTAGACGTAGTAGTAG